CAACAACATCTTCACCACATCTTCTGATGCATGCTAAAACATTGCATAAAATAGATCAGCTGTCGGCTGGATCACTACTGAGGAGAATTTGTAAAGAAAACGGAAAAGGCTTCCAGTAAAAATTACCTCGTCGATATTTCGTAACCACTTGGCTATGTTATCAAAACTCTTTGCATTTGTTATATCATACACGAGCATAATACCCATCGCTCCTCTGTAGTATGACGTGGTGATTGTGTGGAAACGTTCTTGTCCAGCAGTATCCCTATAAGTTCAACAAACTAGCAGCAAAAACTGGCACTAAAACCCTTTAAAAACTATTTTCTTTCAAAAAGAGCATTTTAATCAGAAATTCAATTTCATAGAGAAGAAAAAGAAGGGCTTAATTTGAAAGACTTACCATATCTGCAGTTTAATCTTCTTCCCTCTCAACTCGATCGTTTTGATTTTGAAATCAATTCCTGCAAGAATGAAAGCATTGAACACCGATCATACCACATATCAATTTTTCTCAAATCCCAAATAAGGTCGTTCTTTACCTAATAATCTTACCACCAAAGTCCTAAACTAATGGAATTCAAATAAACTTGGCATTAACCGGTTCTACTTACAATTATTGTAACCGGAATTCCAACTAATGATTTTTATAGGCGACCATTAGCGTATAAATGGGACATAAATTTGACTAGTATCTGAGGGCAAGGCGTGGGCATAGCAGTTTGTAAAAAGCGAAAATCTACATAGTATGAGTTTCCCAACTTTTAGTGAACGTCTAAACATTAACTTATGCAAGATTTTTGCTGAGAAAGCCACGTTTTCGTGTGTATTTCTATACATCCTATCGCTGATTGTAATTTGAACACAATATCATCTTCTTTTTAGAATTACTACATGTGCATAGATTTAGCAATAGCATACAACGTTAGAATGACTAATTGCATCTAATCCTCAACAATTTTCGAAGGCGCCAGAAAATCAGTCAACCACCTTTTCCTCTCTTCTGCAATCGTGACCTTAGGACCACTTTACTTATTAAATAATTGCTTTTGAAGGAATATAAATTAATTGTGGTCTT